TTTTTGAAGGGAGCTGGCTGGGATCTTACTGGCCTTGCTTCAACCTGCATTTCAGTTATCATTATAGCTATTTTCCTGCCCAAGAGTTGCCTAGCCATGGTGCCTATTAAAACCAATAACATGCTCCACCAAAAGGATCACTACTTTTACAAGGCTTTCTCTAAAGCAGCACACTCCCTAAATTTACTCAAAAAATAACTGCTGTCTATTATGACATTAGAACGCCTTGCCTTCAAATCTGGCTCTTCTAATTCCCTACCTTTAGACTGTAAACTCTTTGTCTCTTATTTTGCCCTAAATTTTGTACCAAATTGCATGGAATGAGCTGGAAGAAGGATTAAAAAATGAAGCAGTAGTAATTAGCAATAGTACTAGTAATCTTACTAATTGTAGCATGTACTAAGAGTGGCAGTAGTATTACTAGGAAGTAGTTGTAGTCAAAGATTTCAATTACACACTGATGTGACAGGCATTCAGATTTTGGAGAGGTTTTGCCACTGATTTCAGGGAATGTTAGTCCTTTTGTTAAAGAAAACGATGGAAATAAGGTTGCGCTGTTTCTTTCAGGAGGGTGTAAGTATGACAGTGGTTTTGATCATTTTAAAAAACTGTGTTCATTTACACCAGTCTAGTTCAGTATACAGCTGACTTAATAAAGGTTGATGGTAACATTTTAGAAGTTCTTTGGAGTCTAAAACGAACCAGTGCTTGATCTAGTAGCGGTGACAAAAGCAGTCTCTTTTTTATGATAAAAGGAGATGTCTGTGTTGATCTGCAAATGTGTCAGATCATTCTGAAGAGGCTAGAAAGTGCTGGAGCATTTTTTCTTTGTTTTGTTTTTTTCCAAGTGATTTCTCCCTCTTTATCATTAAGCTTCAGATAAAGGGGAAACAGCCCTTGTATGTTTTGTCATTGTATTCATCTGTCATAATTTTTGCTGACAGTTCTCAACACATGCTATGTTTTACAGTTCTAACAAGAGAAAAGACCAGCCATTAAGTTTATGTTTCTTTGTTTTTCAATAAAGTCACATATCAGGAATAATGCTAGCGGTATGCTAATAAACTATATATAATGCTAGTCATCTGGGAGCAAGAAATATTTTCTAACTAGTTCTAAAGGGAAATAATGTTTTTAAAAAAGGAGACCAAATGTTATTTATGCAATGTACATTGGTCTGCATGTCAACATCAAAAACATCTTCTAAGGTGCCTGCCATAATAAATCTTTTGTCTAGATGGCTATTATTTAAACATCTCTTGTAGATGCAATTTTAGTAGAGGACTCTCACTTTTTCCTATTTGTAGGGCATGTTTTGGAGCATCATGTATCGGAAGTATTTCTACTAATTTTAACATGTCTTTCAGGTCACATTGAAAGAATAAAAATGTGGTATATTTTGGCTGTAAGATTAAATTGGAGCTTCAGTTTGTTAGCCCTCATCCTGCTTGTTTCCACTTGCAGGATGAGAATCAACTAGCTGAAAATGTACCAATATAGGTGTCAGCTCAGATGTAAATCGCATTGCCTGCAGTGACTTATTTCTGTGACATTCAGCACAGGAAAGGAACAACTAAGTGAAAACATACCACTATACATGACCATTCAGAATTAAATCAAATGGCCCTTGATGGTGCTTACTCCTCTAAGTATCAGCATGGAACAGGAGGCTTTTGAGAAGGAGTTGTGAATTATTCCTTTTTAAATCTCTGCTTCTTTGGACAAGCAAACCTGTGCAAAGTTTAATGGAGCCTTTTCTTTTCAATAAAGCTTAAAGGGCCATTTTCCCAAGCAGATCAACACACCACCTTTCCAACTCCTTACATCTCCCATTTGTGTGACTCAAAAGCACATTCAGTGCACTGGAAATCATGCTGTATTCCTTAGCATGTGCACCAGCTGTGGTAAATGTTTTTTGCAGAAATACAATGGTTTGCTTATTTATTTATTTAGCACTTTTGTATACCGTCTTGTAGCCATATGGCTCTCTAGATGGTTTACATAATTAAAAAACAACAACAATACAAAACATAACACAATTCACACAATTAAAACCACAATATCAGTAATAAATAACACAACGGTCTCTCATGCACAGAAGGGGTTCTCTCACCCCTTCCAATTCTATAAAACATGCCAGAATAGTTCCTTCCTCCACAATCTGTTATACTGGCCTAGCCTTGAAAGCAGCTCCTCTAGGCTGGAATAATAGAGTAGATACACTGGAAATACAACCTTTTAAACCCCGTTTAGTCATAATCATACTTCACTGGGTTGAAAGGGAAGTTTTTAACAAGAAATCTAAAAGTAGTTGTATTGAAAATGAGCATAGGATATGAGCCTTTAGAAATGTTAATCACTCCGTTTTTATAAATGTAAATAATTGTAGAAATTAGTATATAGAAACAATATTAAAAGTTTGGTTCTTCTCTCCTTGGTATTTCAAAAATCTAATTTTGGGTCTGAGACAAGATGGAAGCGTATGTTCAATGCACCAATATGAATGTTTTTGTTACGGAGGAACAAAAAGGAAGTGAAGCGCCAAAAGACAGAGTGCACTCATATGCACGGCTATTCACAAGTCGGAAGTAGAGTCAGATGGGGCTTACTGCCTGGTAAACAGGCACAGTATTGCAAGCTTAATGCCTGTTGTCAACAAAGTGCAGCCTAAGCATGTTCTGAGTGATTGTAAGAGCCTATTCTCTCTCCATAACACTGATATTAAGGAATTCTTATAAACTTTGTAACAGTTGCACTTGTCATAAACTTAAATATGCAATTGAAAGCATTTATAATAAACTTAGTGTATACTGCTTTGGTACTTGGAAGTTTGTGAATCTTGACATTTATTGGCAATTCTTAATCCTTAGGAGGTCCAGCCTTTATAAATCCTTGTAAATGAAGGAAATGAGGGTGAGATACAGACATTTAAGGAAGGCATGGAACTAGATTTGGGATTTACTAGTACGTTTAATTTTCTGGCATTTCCCACCATGATTCTTATAGTAGTATTCATTCAAATCCAGCATGTTTCAGGTATCACAATCCATTTTCTATCCACTGGCCAGGAAAAGTATGTGTGATAAATTGTAGCCACAGTTCATGTTCTGTGCGTATCTCCTGGGGAATGAGTCCCATGGAATTCAGTAGGAAGTACTGGTCAATTACAGCCTGCACTCCTATATCCATGGAATGTCTTCCTGAACTACATAGGATTTACTTACTAATAAATGTGCATAGAGATAGAACTGTATGTGTTAGACGTTCTTTGATGTTGGCATTTACCAGTAATTCTTAAGACTAGGAATTATTCAAAACCATGGTTTCTGCCAAGTAAACGAGACTTGAAGAAATATGTATTAATTAAAGAACAACAAAATAATAAATGTTTCAGATAACAAATTTACATCACTACAAATCTAGCTAAATTGGGATAGAGCATGTTTAAGAGACAGAAATTACACTGGTGGAGACATAAAAACTCCAGCTCAAGCTTAATGTTAAACTCCTAAGTAATGTTATTTTTAAAAAAATCAGGAATTCTTTTCATAGCATAGAATATTTTTAAGAACTTTGGAAACTACTAGAAATCTGTACTGTACAAAGCATAGTTTATCTAGCATTTCCCTGTTTAAAGTGCTGCTGTTTACATTGATATCAAAATAGTACAAGTATAACATCATAGATTTGCTGTTCAGATAGAAATGTTTTAGAACAATTAAAACTGAGGAACAGTTTGTTGATATATTGCATGCAACTGTAAGTGTATTATTATAGCCTCAATCTGAATCTGTTTAAATCAGGAAGAGGGTTTCTATTCATTTAAACATAATTTGATCATTTAACCTAGGTGTATTCAATTATTTATTTGAAGTTTTCAAGATGAAGGTAATGTTTTGTTGAAACTGTCATGGAAGTTTAGCAATTGAGGCCACTTGGGCAGATGATTGAAGTTAAAATAACTGTTGGCCAGTGGTAGAAATAGGTTTTGCATGAAGAAGTCCCCAGCTTCAGTCCACAGCATCTCCAGATTAGACTACAAAGACCATGTCTTAAGCCTTGGAGAATTGCTGCCTGTCAGTGAAAAGAATACTGAGTTAGATGGGTCAGTGGTTTGCAGTTTCCTGTGATCCCATTAACAACAGGCCATTTGTTGTTAACTATAAACATTACCTTCTTAAGAATTCAGCATCCTCAGGAAGGTTTCCCTTCACCTGTCCTTGCACCCCAGGGCATGCCCAACCATGCGTACCACCCCCACCAGTGTTGCTACCTGGGGACAAGTGTTACAGGAAGATTCAGATGGAACGTACTACAGTTGAAATACATCCATAAAAGGCCACATGCTACCTACTAGCTGTTTAACCAGCAACTATGTAATAGCTCCTGATACTTGCTGCTCTGCTGAGCATACATGTACTAATGTCATGTTCTTCTAAGTTCCAGCAGCCAGAGACTGCTAAAACAAGGTTTGTGGCTAAATAGCATATCACTAGTGGACCTTTCTGCAATCTAGAAGCAAAGATGTCAGAAAGGTGTGCATGCAATAAAGAAATTTATTTTATTGGACTAAGGATCCTGATTTTCCCAGGAGGGATGGAAATCAGCTTTTGTATAAGAACAAGCCATATTACAAACATGGCCTTGCCTTTAACTGGGGCAATCATATGACATTGAATGGATTGAATTTTCCAAACATTAAATTGCCATTGTGTGCATTTGATCATAAATATGCAAGTGGTGGAGAAAATCTTACATGCTCAGAAATTCAGGGAAACTGGAAATGTTGAGATCTACTTTCCACTTGGTCATCTGATCAATTTCGTATGAGTGGTTACCTGCAAACCCTTTGCAGACGGAAAGAGTGTGTGATTTGGTACTACTATGAACATTTTTATATCTTTGGAGGGGTTTTTTGCTTGCCATTTTTCACATAAGTATACTGAGTGTGAATTTGTTTGTACAATTTAATTAAAACTTTCCATCATTGTTTTCTCCAGAAGAAGACCTACCAGTGTATCAAGTGCCAGATGGTTTTCTACAATGAGTGGGATATCCAGGTTCATGTTGCAAACCACATGATTGGTGAGTGAAGTATTAAATCTTGTTGATGATAGACAGATTATTCTCCTAGTTGTATTCATCATTGCCTGTAAAATTAAACAGAGTTAAGGAGAAATTAATTGTGCAACCGTCAATGATTTACCCAGGTGTGATAGATTTTTTTAAATTTTTTTATTATTAGGTCTAATCAAGCATTAGCATGTTTTATTTTCTGTGAGGGCTAGTTTAGACTTCTGCAGAGAATCATATACCACTGCCAGTCAAAACTCAGGTGATTAACAAATTAAACTTCTAATCATTTTTGCATTATTGAAAACAAAGTAACAGGAATGGTTAATGAACTGGTTGTTAGCTTTCCACAGAGTTTTAGACAGGTTTTAATTTCAGAAGTTATTATGATAATGATACTACTGAGTACTGCTCAAATAACTTGGTAGTAATATCAGAATTGGCAAGTTTTGTCACCAAGAAACGTAAATAATTCAAATGGTTATAAAATAAGGATATAGATAGTGTTTAAATAGCCTGAAAACAATCAAGAATGTCTCACTGTATTATTTCATTATAAAATGAAATAATATATTTAATGCAGACTAAGCTCAAGGACTGTTACTGAAATCATTTAGAATCTGCAGTCACTTTCTTTAACAATAATTTACTTTTCTGATATTGATAAGAGGTGGCTGAAGTTAGGAAATACTAAAAAAAAGCATTTTCTTTGAATTGCCATATTTTGCCATTATTTGTTTATTCTCGTAGGATTATCTGTACTGTTTTTAATTTGGTTACCACTTAGTGATAAAGCTAAGTATTCTGCAAGTCAATTAAATTTATCAAGCACATCTTTTGCCTGCTAATAAAACAATGATATCTTCTGTTACTGCCACTTTTTAAGAAATGCTGTTAGCAAAAATTGTGTTAGCATTAGAATCAGTATTAGTTAGTTCTGTATTCCTTTAACCTTGTTTGATTCATTTTTAAAAGTAATTTTAAAAAGTTTTACCTTACTATGCAACTTTACAGCCACATACCATTTATTAAAATAAACTATTTGCTTGAATGCATTCTGCAAGTATGATTTTGTAACACTCTGATTTGATATCACAAGCCAGTTTTTACATTTGATTTTTTGAAATGTTCTTTGGCTATTAAAATTTGTGAGCTAACTAAATAGACTTCCTTTCCAGTTAACTTTCTTTTTTAGGAAACACAGGCTGAAATCCTAAACACACTTAGGGTGAAGCCATTTGTATGCTTAAGCAGAAAAAAAGGATACCTCTTCCAGCATTTGCCAGCCAGCTATTGGCTGGGGAACACTGGAAATTATAGAATTTTTTCTGTCTAAACATGGAGAGGATTGTACTCTTAATAGAGAGTAAATGCCATCCAACCAATAGGATTTGTTTCAGAGTAAGCATGTTTAGGAGTTAAGTAAAATTCTTCTTACTGGAAAAATGATCAGGGATTACAAAGCCAATTATATTTTTTAATTAATGATCCGAGGTTATTGTTATTACCAAAGTATAACTAAGAATTCATACTTTGTGTCAATTTAGCTTTGTGAGCTAAGATATTGCACTGGCAAGAGGAGATAAACTGAGTGATTTGGGTGCCTGTGGTAGAAAGTTAAAATTATGCTTTCCCATGGTGGTAAAAAATGTAGCAGTAGCCTATGTGTACAGTCCAAACCATTCCTAAGGCACATGCACAGAAGTTTCCAAACTCAGAGGCTTGCATGTATCCAGTGCATGGTCTGAGGTTGTGTTGGTGGTCGTGAGTGTCTACCTCCACCACAGCTCACCCATATAAATGGTTGTTTGGATTTAGTTCTGGGCAGGGGGAGGGAAGGAGGGTGAAGCACGTATAAGAATGTATATAAGGCCACATAGACCTTTACATGAAGCTGCAGCTGTGTGCACGTAACTACAATCCAAGATCTTGGTTGGCTTTGGAATACACGGTTGGCATCAGGTTGTGTATTCTGGGGAAAGGGATGTTGGCATAAATAATTAGAATCAAATGTTATCAAAATGACTAAGCAACAATTTCATATGACATTGTCTCTTGAATAGAACAATAATACCAAAGTGCTTTAAACATGAAATGCCATTCTAATTCTACTGGTGAGCCATTGTGTCCACTGTTATTCCTATATATAGGAGCTGGGAATCAGTTATGTAATCCTATGTGTGTTTGATCAGAAATAAGCCAGTGGCACTTCATCACAGGAGATTGTGCATATGTTTACAGAACTCCATGGTTACAAGTCCATAATAGGAAAATGGCAATAATTTATAGCTGAAAATATCAGGCTGTCTAGCTAACAAGCAAGAGGCCACCCAATAACATTGTTCCTTCATCAGCTCCCAATTAAAATGGTAAAATAAAACGTTATAAAAGAATTGTCTGTAACATGCATACAACTGTTAGAGACGATATTAGAAGCACAACATCAGAAATATATAGCACATAAAGAATGGCCGAATTCACACATAATGACAAGCCATGCTGGAAACCATGCAGTGAGGAGTTGTCATTATGTGTGAACTGAACATTCATCATGAAATGTGGCACACTTGGTTTCCGTGCAATCACATGGAGAAACAATGGCTTGTGGCAAAGTTCCTGTGCTTCACCATGGCTTGTCAGTATGTGTGATCACAGTTGACATGTGTCCACATGGTTTCTACATTTCTGCCAGCAAGTTTGGTGGCAAGAGCAGACATGGCTGCACTTGATGCTCCAGCCTCCATTTTTCAGTGTCCTGTTCTGCTGAGTTAGTTGCAGCTGCATCTGATTAGCGGTTTCTGCACTCCCTTCTTTCCTGGCAGCATGTGGCTTTCCAGTGCCCAGCCAAGGTGGTGGATTCTTGCCAGCAGTTGCTCATGGAGCCGCATTGACTCTACCAGCAGTAACCATGGAGACAGCCATGCTTGGCACTCCTGCCTGGTCACTGCCCTGTGCTAGAGCAACACTTTAAAGTGGCACCATATCAGTGCCACTGTGCAAGGAGCACACAGGCAGCATGTGGGACTTCACCAACAGGGGGAGCATCCCAAAGAGCTCAAGTCTCCTGCCCTCTGCCCAGCTTCCATCTTTTCCTTCTGGATTCGTCCACAAACTGTGCTATTTCTCCCCCACACACACTGCTGCTGAGCTAACATTGTCCTGCCAGCCTGCCAGCAAACTTTCCTGGGCAGATGCCCACATGGGTACCCTTGGGAGGTCTGCCCGGTGAGATGTGCTTCATCCATCCCTGCACACATGCCCACACTGATGCCATCCATGCATTTGGCCTTGGGGGGCATCCTCTGGCAGTGTGTGCAGGCCCTGCACATGGGGAGGTAGTTACTGGATGGGCATCTGAAGAAAATCTCAGGGCCCACGTAAGTAATTATGAAAGAAGATGGTCTTCTGAGGCTTCTGGTCCCAAGCCCTTATGAGAGTAGCACCTTGCCATGGGCCCAGAAGTGATTTGGAACAGGTGCAACTAATAAAGCACATTAATAAATTGCCCTTTGACAGCTGCAAAAAGAACACAATGTTCAGCTACCCACATCTTTAGTTGAATCTCTAATCCACATTTGAATATTTTAATGAGCTATCCAGTAAGCAGTGTAATCAGAACATTTGACATGAAGAAAACTGACACTTCTATGTGTGGGTAACAGAATATTCTGGATTGCCAGACAGTCTCATTGGGTATGTTTGCTTGCCACCCACTTTCCTCTCATCATTTGCTAGAATACAATAAAGTTTTCTTTGAGCAGATGCAACTAGATCAAGCCAGATTGGAATCTGACTTAAAAGATAATACGTACTGGGGATTGTTATTTTTGCCGTCAGGATTGTGAAAACATTAGAAGTCATTTCTCATGTCATAACTCATGGGAGGCTCTCCCACTGTAGTTTCAGAAGGAAGGATGTACATTATGTAGCAGCAATGGATATGCTGAAACATTTCTAGAATTCTTGACATACCCAGACTTGACTTACAAGCAGGCACAGAGTCTTATTACAGTACAGATTTTCAGCACAAGAGCAACTTGTGAAATCAAAAGTACTAACATTAGTGGCCTTGGATGCCTTAAATTTCAAGTGGGATGAGACGGACTGGAAAGAGGTACTTTTCTCCTTGCTAGTTATCATGCATGATATTGTTTTCTATCATAATCATTCTGGTGCAGTATCATGTACACTTGCTGGACAATCTTTCCAGAATGAGGAAAAATGCCACCCCACAAAAACAATGTGACTTGAACACCATTCTTGCTTAATGTACATTTGCTGTAAGTAATACCTAATTTTGGTGTTCAGGATGCCTTCCCAATGAAAAAAAAGTCAGATCACAATAAGATTACAGAAGAATCAACAATCTGAAATAATTCTTTTTCAATTGTATCAACCAAACTGTTTTGCAACCCAGGAAAATGACATTCTTGTTTTTTCACATGCTAGAACTCATTTCCATGCAACACTTTTCTCTTGCTTTGTCTTTTGTTTTCCTTTTGCTTTCTGCTATAATTGACTATCCTTTTTTCTTCCTCATCCATCCCTTTCCTTTCCCCTTCCCCTTTCCTTTCTTTAATTCATTTAGAATTTACTGGGCATTACCAAGATCAAAACAGATTAAAAGAAAGCTGTCAACAGGCTTGTGCCTGAATGTTCATTTTATTAGTAAGAAAGGTTTGTGTGATTAATATGTACAATTCAAAGACTCTCATGCTTCTATAGGTAAAAGAAAGCAGAAGGGACAAGTCTACACTTTCTATGAGCTATGGGGGTCTGCAGATGCTGTATTAGCCGATAACTGTGTAATAATATGTATGTTAACAAAGGCAAAACAGTAAAAAAGAAAAGAAAAAGCCAAAAACTCTGGTAAAAATGGCAGGCAGTTACCAATCTGGCTTTCCTAACCAGTGAGCGAGCTGCTGACCTGTCATTGTAAGCTGGAGATTAGAATTTCTAGTGTTTTTGCTTCTGTTGGTTTATTTAAAGACTCCTAACTACTGTTTATTTAC